CTCAGGGCGGCTCACAATGTACGGGTGCAATACAGCACCGTAATTCCACAGTATGGCACTCAGTGCAATAAAAACACAATAAAACATTTAAAACAGTTAAATACAATGGGCTACGCCCAAGGATCCCGCGTGACTGACACCCTCTCTCCCTATTGCACATGCCCTTGAGTCCAGAGGGAGGATGCTGTGGCCCCCCCCCGATGTTCATTGGCCACTCAGCCTCATCCAGCGGTGCCGCTATACAGGCCCCTGTTGGTGATAGTGGTGGTGGCGGCGGCTCCTATTCGAAAGCCTGGTGGAAGAGCTCCATCTTACAGGCCCTGCGGAACTGTAACAGGTCCCACAGGGCCCTGATCTCCTCTGGGAGCTCATTCCACCAGATAGGAGCCGCCACCGAAAAGGACCTGGCCCTTGTGGCTGCAAGCCTGGCCTCTTTAGGGCCCAGGGTCGCAAGAAGATGTTGCGACCCCAACCGAAGTGCTCTTTGGGGCCTGTGTGGGGAAAGGCAGTCCCTCAGGTATGCCGGACCCTGGCCATGTAGGGCTTTAAAGGTGAGCACCAGCACTTTGAAGCGGATCCGGAATGCTATAGGCAGCCAGTGCAGCGCTTTCAGCACAGGCTGGATGTGGTCCCATTTTGAGACACCAGCAACCAGCCTGGCCGCCGCATTCTGCACACCAGCCGAAGATGGTAGAAGGCCGCTTTGGCAGTGGCTGCCGCCTGGGCCTCCATCGTTAAGGTGGAGTCCAGGAGCACTCCCAAACTCCTAACCTCCGAAGCTGGCACCAAAGGCGCCCCATCGAAGGCCGGGAGCGGAAGCCCCAATCCCATCCCGTTCCGACCCAGACACAGGACCTCCGTCTTTGCCGGGTTCAGCTTCAACCAACTCAGCCTGAGCCATCCAGATACGGCCTGCAACTCCCGGTGCAGGTCTTCTGGATCAGAGTCCGACTGGCCGCCCAACATCAGATAGAGCTGGGTGTCATCGGCATATTGATGACACCCAAGCCCATACCTCCGGACAATCTGGGCGAGGGGGCGCATATAGATGTTAAAGAGCATCAGGGAGAGAACTGCCCCCTGAGGCACACCGCATTCAAGCAGGTGCCTCCGGGACCGCTGCTCCCCTAATTCCACCCTCTGTCCCCGACCTTGGAGGAAAGAGACAAGCTACTGAAGAGCGAGCCCCTGAATCCCCACGTCGGCAAGGCGGTGGGTAAGCAACTGATGGTCGACCGTATCAAATGCGGCCAACAGGTCGAGCAACAACAGCGCCGCCACACCACCTTGATCCAGATGTCTACGGAGGTTGTCAGTAAAGGCAACCAGTACAGTCTCCATTCCATGCCCAGGGCGAAAGCCAGACTGGAATGGGTCGAGGGCGGAAGTGTCATCTAGGAAGCCCTGCAGCTGTGTCGCCACCGCCCTCTCAATCAATTTGCCCAAATAGGGCAAATTGGACACTGGTCGATAGCTGGCCAATTTGGCCGGGTCCAGCGTTTACCTATGTCCGCTGAAGCCACACAGCAGGTGTGGGGAACTGCTTCTTTAAAAAAGGAGAGTACATACAGGCTCAGAATGGCACTTCTGGGAGAAGAAGGATTCCCATTTCCCCAGCAGTTTTCTCACATGAAACCACTTTGGGGGGAGCTATTTCATCAATGTTGCTGCTCCACATGAACTATCTGTGGATGTGGAACAGCAAAATTGGTAAAATAACTCTGTCTCCAGTGCAGTTTTCCAGGGAGAAAACTGCTTCAGGGAAGAGAGGCAGGAGCCCTTCCTCCCCACACAGTGCTGTTCTGAGAGCCATTTGGACTCTCCTTTTTTTTTTTTTTTAAGAAGCAATTCCACACAGCTGCTGTGTGCTGTTGGGAACACAGGCAAACTAGTGTAATCGAGTAAAGAAACACATTATGTAGTTTGCCTCTGACACGATCAGTTTAGAGATCAGCTTGAGTATGTACCATCTGCCCTAAAGGATGTAAACTTTACAAGAAAAGCCATCATGGGACCCTACTGACCTAGGTAATTATTTGCCAGTTTCCAATTAGGGGGAAAGATACATGGAAGGGTGACCGACAGCCACAGCTACACTTGGATGAATCTGTAGATTCAAGCCTAGTTTGGAGATAAATGTTTTGGCTGCTAGTAGATAACCTGTACTAGTAAAGAGAAAGGGAATGTAACTGTCATCATACTTTCAGCGCCTTTTTAAAAAATTAAACTTTTGATTTTCAGTAATGTATAGGACATTTAGGAGGGGAAGAACATGGGGAAGGGGATAAGACATAAAGGAAATTTTTCCATCAAGCTTATATAATAGCTGTTACAATACAATTCCCATCTTAAACCTTTGTTTCCATACCTCTTTCATTTATAAATTCTAAAGCTATAGTGTAGACGATTAATCCAATCACTAAAATCTTCCATTATGGTTCCTGAAAAAGTACATATTATTTACAGTTCAAATTACATTTATCCTAAGTTTATAGTAACCAGGGGTCATTTCCTGCCAGAGCAGTGCTTGGCTCTCAGTGAGAGCAGTGCTCTGGCAGTAAGGAGCCCAGGGGCGGGGGCCCCCACCACCTGCTGGGATTTAAATGCCTTTCTTTCCCTTCCCCAGATGGGGAAAGGGAAAGAAAGGCATTTTAAACATGCCTGGGTCCCCTGCCCGATCTTCCCTGCCCTTGCCTTCTCCAGCCAGCCTGCCATGGCAGGTTGGCTGGGGAGGGGAAGGGGAGACTGGCAGGCATGCTCCCTTTCCCCCCTGAGCCTCTCCACTTTGGCAGAGAAACTTAGGGAAGGGGGGGATTTAAATGCCTTTCTTTCCCTTTCCCAGATGGGGCAGAGAAAGAAAGGCATTTTAAACATGCCTGGGTTCCCTGCCCGATGTTGAGAAGATCGGGCAGGGAACCCAGGCATGCTTGCCCTTTGACAGGGTGTGTGGCATATACAAATGAGCTATGCAAATGAGCCCCTGTGTGCTGACTTAGCTGGTAGCCACCGAGGTGATAAACTGGAAGCTGAGAACACGAGCCGGAATCAAGGTCAGTGACAAAGCCAAAGGACTGATAGTCGGGGAGTCATTTCAAGAATGCAGGTTTCCAAAGGCAAGGAGCGACTGCTGCACACTCAGAAGCAGGTCTGATTTTGCAGAGTTGTTGCCACGCTGGAGCAGGTGCACCAAAGAGCTTTAAACAGATCCTCCCTCCCTTTGGAGTTGAGTCTGCAGAGGCTTACAACTCCTCTCATTGATGTTGCTGGAGCTGCAGCCTGGCACTTCTTCTTCATTCCTGCAAAGTCAGCCTCTGCCGTGCCCTATGTTTGGGGCACTCAGGGGAACTAGGCAGGGAGTCTGACCTTGGGGTGTCTGCAGCTGGGGTTGCTGGCCCCGGCTCAGGAATGGCCTCTCCTTCTGGCTGCACCTCTTGTGCAGCTGCTGGGGACTCTTCCTCCTCAGGTACTGCTAAGGGTTCTTCCTCTGTGCTGTTTCTACAGGAGGCTGAGTTGTTCCTTGCCTCTTCCTCATCTGAGGAGGAGTCAGCCTTAGCTGGACCTGTACCCACGACACCCTGCATCTCTTTTTCTATGAAATGACCCCTGATAGTAACTATAATCCATTACTCATGAATTTCCTTTTCACAGTTTCTTTTCACCCATTATACTTTCAGCAACTTCTGATACCATCAACCACAGCATCTTTTTATTGCTTTTTGGGTTTGGACTAGTGTGTACTTCTTATGGTGCTGGGAAATTATTGTTCCTGTAGATAGGATTTTTCCTGTGATGTGCTTCACAATTCAATTTTGTCATCCATGCTGTTTAAACATTTACATGACATCACTGGCAGAGGTCAACCAATTTAGAGTCCAACCAGTTATCTAGAGTTCAGTGTCAGTACCCTAAAGACATCCAACTGTATCTGAGCTCTTCATCTGGTCCATGTTCTGCAACAGACGTTCTCAGTAGATGTCTGGAGATGGCAATGGAAAGTATGACTGTGAATAATTTGAGGCTTAATCCAGACAAAACTATTATGGTGATGATGGAGGTGTTCAGGAAATTATTGGGCTAGGAAAATGCTTATCATGGAGAGGATTACACTTCCCTGAAGGATCAGCTCCATCGTCTGGGATTTCACGTGGATCCTACATTGTTGCTAGAACTTGCCATCTGAGCCCAGTATTAAAACCAAAATATTCTAGTGTTATCACTAAAGCTTTAGTGGCATCCATACAGCTGTAATACATTTTATATGAGCCTGTCCATGAAGAAGATGAGACACTACAAATAGTTCAAAATGTTACTACTTGTCTTTTGTTGGAAATCAGCAGGACAGTGCATTAGATCGATGCTTGTGATAAACATGTTGGTTACTTTTGTATATCTGTACTGACAGTGGACCTCTCTATTCCTTCCTTTGACACATCCAGCAAGGCACATCAAATATAGATTAAATCATATACAATTGTATTCTTTCCACCATTAAATGTTCTGATTCTATGGACTTCCCAACTCTGCTCTGGATAATTAAGTTAACAAGATGTTAAAACTTCCTAAAGGAATGACCCTTAAGAATTTGCAGTTTCAGCACATGTTGCCATGTAAAGCAGAACTCATTATTTCAGTCAGACTTAACCACATATTCAAGTTTCCACCAAAAACATATGTACTGGATGCAATGAACTGTGAATGGAAGGCATTGACAGAATGAGTCAAGCAAGAAGGATAATTTTTATCAACCAAGCTGCTAATTTCTGCACTGCCCCAATGTTCCTGAGAATAGCCTGCCCCTTAAGACCAGACCTTTGGAAGATCTAGGTAGTAGAAAATTCCATTCTATTAATCTCTTTTCATTCATGGTTCAAAGGATCCAACCCATGCACTTTAAAACACATAACATTGACTATATCATGCCTTGTTTTTTTCTAAAAAAAATAATTTCAAGTAAAAAAGGAAGTGACAGATATCTACCAATAATAAAATGAATAGCATACCTGGTCTGAGGGAGAGCAGCATTTATTTGCCATCTTTATCTGCAGAAAGAGATCCAGATAGTTGTGTTACCAGATCAACCTATCTAATAGTTATGAGTTTCATGTATAAGTACAATTTGGTCCCAATCACAACAGTACTGGAAACTAAGCTATATTTTCAATATAATTTAGTATAGGCATTTTCTATAAAGGCTGAAAATATGAAAAATATGGTTTTCTGCATAATATTTACCTTCCTGGTGTAAGGAAATGAAAATACTGTTCCTTAAGTTAGCTTATAGGATCTCAGTCCATCAATGTATTTTAAGAGACAGCTATGATTTTTAATTTCTATTAGTTTGTTTTCTGCATTTTTCACCCATTTTCACTATGGGAAGATAAGGCAGAACTATAGGTTTATTATATGTATCATAAATCAGGGAAGTTGGTTTTAAGATGGACTACAACTCTATTTCCCGGAGACATTTGTGCTAACGATAAACCCAAAGGAACTTCTGTGAGAATGGAAAACATTTTCTTGCCTCACTGGTGTGGAACATTAACCACACGGAATCAATTCTTTTAAAACTTAGCTCCTGTCAAGAGTGCCTCTTGAAATAAGTAAGACTAGCACAACCTGAACCACTGGAGGATTTTACTATTTTATATGAGATGCAGATTCCCAAGTATGCTTACACAGGTTGAAGCGTATACAGAATACAATTTCAAACTACCTTAGCCTAAGATTACCTTCTTACCCACAGCACTTTTCCTAGAGTAAACAATTAAGTCGTTTCCTAATGAGGAGGAGGAGAGGAGATTGGATTTATACCCCGTCCTTCACTACCCAAAGGAATCTCAGAGCAGCTTACAAACTCTTTTCCCTTCCTCTCCCCACAATAGACACCCTCTGAGATAGATGGGGCTGGGAGAGCTCTGACAGAAATTGCTCTTTTTCAAGGACACAATAATAGCATAATCATTTTAATAAATGCAGACTATGAAACTGGAGGAGAAAGCGCTGTCCCTTGTTTGCCCGGAGGGCCTATTTTTTATCTGTTTACACTCTATTTCTGCTGCCATTCCTTCCAGATTCTAGAAAGTGCTCTTTGTGGGAAGGGAAGATGAGTGTGTAACTTAAGGCACAGACCACTGCTCAGTTATACAGCAAAGGCTTTACATGCATGAGGTCCCACACTCACTTCTTGAACAATGATCTCACTTAGCAGGGATGGAAAATAACCCTGTCTGAGACCTTCCAGTCTGAGTAAAATAGGATTAGATGGATACAAATGGGGGCCCGTGATACTCACCCCCATGGGCACTTTCTCGCCAGGCTCCCCTGCAGCTGCCAGGCCCACCCCCACCCCCGCCCCTGCTTTCGGCAGCTCTCCTGGAGCTGCTCTGGGTGGGTTCACTGATGCTTCCTTCCCCCCTCTCCACTGGGTGGCTTGCCCAGAGCAGTTCTGGGTGGGCTTGCTGAGGCTTCTTTTCCCCCCTCCCGACTCTTGGCAGCTCAGCCAGAGGTGCTCCAGGTGGGCTCGTGGAGGCTTCCTTTCCCCATTCTTGGCGGCTTCCCTGGAGCTGTTTGGAGCTGCACTGGTGCAAATAATGCTACTTTACTTTTGGGGGAATTACTCCCCCTCATATAGTTTCTTAAAGAGTTAAGACTTTTCTGCACACCTAAAGGGTGCCCCAAGTGTGCAGAAAAATCTCTTTACCCTCCATCTGCACATAGGGGTCACAGATGGGAATTAGCTCTATAGGCAGGATTCCCAAGTCCATCTCCCCTGGCATTAAACTTTGGCAGGGGGATCTCTAGGGTTCATTCGAATAACCATTATTTTCAATAATACTAATTCTGTAGCCTTCCATATTTTACACAATAGAGAAATATTCCTTCCTTCCTTCCTTCCTTCCTTCCTTCCTTCCTTCCTGCCAGTCTCCGGGTGGAGGTGGGAGATTCCCTGATTTTTTTGGCTCCCCCCAGATGCTGGACAGCTGGCTGGTTATCCTTCCTTCCTTCCTTCCTTCCTTCCTTCCTTCCTTCCTTCCTTCCTGGATGCCAGTCCCCGGGTGGAGGTGGGAGATTCCCTGATTTTTTTGGCTCCCCCCAGATGCTGGACAGCTGGCTGGTTAGAAAAGCACTGCCCCCAACAATAGACCATGTCCCCATTTGAAAAGAGTGGGTGCCATGTGCACCCGCTTTTTTCAAGTGGGGGTTGCACATGCCTGCCCTACAAGCTGCAAATTTGCGGCTTGCAAGGCAGGCATGCATGGTGCCCACTTCCCCCCCAACCACTCTGCATGACTTCACTCTCCATGATGTCATTGTATCAGGAACCACCCCGCCCCCTCCTGGACCGCACTGGGGAAAAGATGGGACCTGGCAACCCTACTTTCACCTTGTCAGGTTCCCCCTTGGCCTTCAGGATGGCGCCCCCGGTGGCCGTAGTGGGGTAACGTCAGTCCTACAGCCCGAAGGGGTTGAGGGCTGGACGGAAGGAGACAGCGTCGGCAGAAAGCGGGGGAGAGGTGGCCTCAGATTGGCAGGGGGCGGGGTTAGGAGCACCCCTCAGTGCCCCTCTGCCTGCATGCCGTGACAGTGCCCTTCTTTCCGGGTTCTCTCTCGGCCTCCGAGCGATGTCTCTCTGTTCCTCTCCGTCTCGGCATGCTCTCCTCCCCGGCCCTCTCTGCGTCCCCCTTTTATTCAGCCTCCTTCGTCCTCCACCAGCCCCTATCTCCCCGTGCTCTTCGCCCCGCCGTCTCTGTTGCTGCTCCCGCCCGGCGCCCCACCCAGCCGCCCGCCTGAAGTCCCCGGCTCCTCGGCTTCATGCTCGGGCCCGACCGGGGCTTCTCCCTGCCCGGTCGCCGCCCGTGTTGGGGGGAGAGTCGCGTCGCTCGGCCGCGTCGCTCCCTCATTCTGCCGGCGGGTCGTCCGGAGTCCTTGGGTGAGTTGCCGGGGCTCCCGGGGTGGGCTGGTGAGTTGCCGGGGCTCCCGGGGTGGGCTGGTTCTCGGCCGCGACCTCCGGAGCAGGACACACCTATCAGATTTCATGCATCCAGACATTAGGTTACTGTGTCCTTACTGCTTACACACTGAACACAGTACCTGTGACGGACTCCAGGCTTGGGATCAGCCTGCAAGAAAAGACACCTGCAGTCACGTGACTAGCAGTGGTGATGTAATTCTGATGCAGAACTCAGGGAAATTTCTAATGGAAAAAAACCCCACTTGACAGTTGGAATTTGGCAGTTGAGACTGTCAGTTGGTTTTAGTCAGTTGGTACTGTGCCAGGGGACTGAGAAGTCTTGTTGAACATCACTGAGTCAGAGGAGCAAAGGAGCCTTCACTACAGATTCCAATATTAAGGGAACCTGAGAAGAGCCAAGTGTAGTTCTATACTACAGTGAAAACTAAGGAGTCTTCAAAGGAAAATAAGCTCCTTGGGGTTAAACAAGATCTTATGTACCTCTCACATAAGATCTATACCCTGCTGGAGAGAGTCAGGTTCAGTGGATATAGTGTGCACCAAAAGGGTTTAATGGACACTAGTGTCCAGAAACCAAGGCACAACCAGGACCGGCCCCAGGTTTTTTTGCAGACTTGGAGGCCTGCCCTAGGCACAGCAAAGGTATTTCTCTATGAAAGTGGAGAGTACCTGAGAAATCAACACAGAAACTGACAGTCTAGAACAGCACAAGGGTTGAGATTGGAGAGAGCGTACTGTAGCATCTGAAGTGAGTGATTATAAGTGAACGGACCTAAGGCTGAACTATACCATTTGAACCAACGTATACACAAGCATCAGTCTCGTCTTTGTATATCTATTCCCTGCCTGCCCGCCCTTGTAAATAAAATCTTCAGTTTGTTTTATTGTTCCCAGTCGCATGTGCCTCAGTGTCTGACAAAGTGAAGCACCTGACAAAATTAAACCACAAGATTCCTCTCAGAATAAGGGTGGTGTTCATGAAAAGCCACAGTTATTAATATTTATAAAAAGGTTTCATCAATAAGTGGCTGGGTGTGTGACAGAAGGATGAACTGGGTGGGTTCCTGGTTGAACAGTGACAGTGTCAGTGAAAAATAAAACTTGTAAAAGAGTGAAGGAACAAATCACCACATACCCAGAAATAAGGAAGTTCATCGCAGTACCCAATTCAGTGTGGTGTAGTGGTTATGAGTGGCAAACTCTAATATGGAGAACTGGGTTAGATTCCCCACTCCTCCACATGAAGCTTGCTAGGTGATCTCAGGATGGTCACAGTTCTCTCAGAACTCTCTCCACCCCACCTACCTCAAAAGTTGGATGTTGTGGGGAGATAAAAGGAGAGGCAATTGCAGGCTGCTCTCGGACTCTTTAAAGTAGGGGAAAGCAGGGTATAAAAACTACTGTCTTGAATTCAAAAATGCTTCAGCCCACTTATGTTTAAAATCATAAACATTTCATTTCATTCTACAGGGTGCACATCTGTTATTACTTCAGAAATATCACCTTCTTGCATATTACATTCTCTGGATAATCATTTCCTTGTTTACAATATGCTTATTTATTTAGGATTTATATTGCATCCTCCTACTTAAAATCAAACAGAAGATAATTTACAAAAAAGGAACAGGATAATGGCATAAAATAAATAAAAAACAACTATTTAAAACTAAGTTAATAAAAATAATAGAATTAATATAAATTGTGGAGAAACACCCTCCACCCAAGAATTCACATCAGTGTTTCAGTTATTGTGACTGTCCATGGACAGGAGCTGTAAAGTACTGTGTTCGCTGCATGGAGGACTCGAACTACAACATGCATTCAGATGCATTTATTGTATGTCACAACAAGACAAACTAAACAGTCCTGCAAGGCCAACTATATACACTCCACCCGGCACACCTATGTTCCCATTGGAGGGTTTGAATTTCCCACCAAGGGTGCTATTGGTGGACTCGAGGTGGACTAGGATCCTAGGTCCCCTTTGTGTTTGAGCAGTGGACCCCAGGTGGCAGTCCATGTACATAATAGGAATCCTGCTGCAGAACAACAGCTGGTAGAAGGGAG